CTGTTTAAACTCCAGCCTGTCCTGTAACTCAAGCGGCTGTTTACAGGAACAGGATCTCCCCCGGGGATCTTGGACTGTCTACGATAACGTACTGGAAGGACTGGCGTATGTGAACTACGTTCTATTACCCACAATGCTCGTGCTAGGGATCGGGGGAAACATCCTCACAATCATCATTATGAGTTCACCTAAGTTCCAGCAGCTGACCTCCAGATTCTACCTGATTTTTCTGGCTCTGTCAGACATAACTCTTCTTCTAACTCAACCTTTCAATAAGATGTTTGTCATAAAAATGTTAGGTGTTGATGTTAGGGCATTATCCGACGTCGGCTGTAAAGTCTTTTTCTGGTTTTTTCGTACCGGAAAAATGACGTCATCGTGGTTTGTAGTTTGTCTCTGCGTAGAAAGATTTATTGCAGTATGGTTTCCATTGAAAGCAAAGATAATTTCTACAAAGAAATCGGCAGTTTTGCAGATTATTTGCGTGTATTTAGTAATCGGGTCTTTTAATGGCGTTTGGACTAGAAATTCTGAAGTCCTTGAGGACGGAAAATGTTATCCCGACTATTTTGACAAAAAAGACAGTCACGAGGCAGAGACGTACAAGGCAATGCTGACCGCTGGCTCCACCTTGTACTCGCTAGCTCCTCTATGTATCCTGGCCACAGTCACCCCTCTAATCGTGTTCAAACTTGCCAGACACCGACAGCAGCGTAAACGTCTTACATCCGCCACTAAGAACGACGACTCCCAGGCAACTAAAACCACCGCCATGTTGATCGGGATCGTCGTGGCCTACTTCCTCCTAGTTCTGCCGATAACTACACTCCATAACATTGCTTTCTACATGGGAATGAAAAGTTTTGGAGATAATCCTAAAGGTTTCTTGATTTTCCGTGATGTATCCCAGATTTTAGAACAAATCAATTACGGCATTAACTTTTACCTTTACGTTCTGACGTCAACCCAATTTCGACAGCAGCTGAAATTGTACTTTACAGAGAGCAGACTTGTTAAATTGTTACGTTCTGTAACATTGTCCTCAGAGGTTAAAACGACGTCCACAAAGCAATCTAAGAAATCATCTGATGACCAGGAGCAGGTCAATGAAGCTAAGAAATCATCTGATGACCCGGAACAGGTCGACAAAGTCTAATTATATTTATACATGTACGTAAGGTCTGTTTCTTTGGGGGGGGGGTTTAAAACAATTGGAATGTACCGGAGTAAATACACACTTGTCAGTTAGCATATTTTACAAGAGCACAAACACTTCCTTAAAAATATGCTATGTCACAAGTGTGGTAAAAAATACACCAATTACACTTGCAAATTGAAAGAAATTTTCCTAACACTGCCAATTAAAATTTTTGAAAGTTAGAATGCGGTCTTAACCCTTAGCATATTAGTATTTTCATTGCTCATTGTGATGTTCTTTAGCGCGTTTCTTCGCGTCTTAAATACTTCATTTTCTAGTAGGTAGAAAAAGCAAAATTTATTTAAGTATGTTTAAAACACTTTTTTCATAATGACATTCATGATAAAAATTTAAATCATTTTATATACTTCTGTACACTGTATGATAGATTATATCTTGTGTATGTAGTCTATGGACGTGTATTACCTCAAAATTTAAACCCGGGGGAATGAATTTTATTGTAATTTTGTCCAATGTAATAAGTTCTTGAATTTTCTTCGTTATTGTTCTGTTTTCACTAAATTGTGGACTAAAAAATGAAATTCTCAGAAAGCGTTTTCTAAGAAAATGGGGAAAACTATATTTAAGGAAGTTCAATTGAGGTTAAACACCTGTAAGAGCATCAATTAGTTTGATAATAAATGTATTTTTCTAGTTTTCTTCCTTTATATAACTATTTTTGATTCACTATATTTACATGGAAAGACAGCAATATGGTCATAAAATTTGCATAAAAATGAAAATTCGAAAAAAAAATCGGAAATTGACATATTTTCTGACCTGCCTGTGACCTCTGTGTATTCCATCACTTAGAACCAATTCTCATTTTGTGGCAGGGTGACAAGTGGTTTTCAAATGATAAACTGTTGCATTATTCAAAGAGACATCCCGACCAAGGGGCTCAAAGGGTATCTTTGTTTATTTTGTCCTTTTCAAATTTTTCTTCAAAAAAAATATATAAAAAGCTATACATTATTTATATTGGTATTGTTTTATTGAAACGCCATTCATAGCTGCAGACAAGGTAAAATATTTATAAGTCGGTCAATCGTCGCCCGATCATCAAGCTCTGAGATACAGTTTGATTTTTACCGTCGGCCGAAATTTTGTAAACACCTCATTGTCAAACGATGGACGATCGACTTTCTTAACTGACCGCCGATGATCGGACAATGATCGTAGGTTGGTCGACGGATTGCTTCGATCGAAGAAATCGGCAATCAACGCAGAAAAATTTATAACTTGGACCGATGGACACAAAATTGGTCGGCCGACAAAAAAAGAGGTCAAAATCGGCCGACAAACTGTAAACTGTAACCCGAAAAATTCCACTTTTGCTTCAAAAACCAACGGCCGTTGGTCGTTTTTTGAAAGTGACCCTAGTCACGTTTTCAAAAACGATCGACGGCCAATGGTTGATAAGTAAAAATAGAATATGTTGGGAGACAGTCTGCAGGCCGTTGTCTTGCCCAATTTCAATCCCATTTTCGTCGGATGACTTATTTTGTGTCAGTTGGGCCAAGTATTATTTTTCTTTGCCCGTGGCCGTGGTCATTCAACTTAAACCCCAGTCACATTTCCAAAAACGACCAACAACCGATGATTTTTTAGGCAAAATTAAGATACTCCGAGAGGCAGTCGGCAGTTCATCAGCCATTGCTTTACCAATTTCAACCTCTATTTTCCTCGGCCGACCAATTCTGTGTCACTCACATGTAATAATTTGTTTGAGCTCGTAGCTGATTTCTTCAATTGAGGTAGTCTATCGACTTATGCCTAGGTCACATTTAAGCCGATGGTCGGGCGACTAAATTTTTCTGGTCTTGTCGGCTGAAAGAACAGGATCGGCCAAAAGTATCGGGCGACACGGAGCAGTCACATTATTTCCGAGGGACACCGATAACTTGGATAAATAACACAAAAAATCTTTTTTCTTTAGAAATCAGCAATATTTTTTCATAGATCTATATTCAGATAGGTGACGTGAGTAATTTTTCAAGGAAAAGAGGCAGAATCTTATAAAATTGTGACTCAATGTTGAAAATGTGTGCAACAATGAACACGTAAAAAGGTTAACCCTAACCCTAACCCTGTAAAAACGACAAATGGTGCTTATCTGAGCAGGAAAGAATACTTAAGATTTCTTTATATCTTACGGATTAATTATTTATGTTATTTCCGTTCAAAAAATTTACAATCCATGCATCATAATTTTGTTTGTGTTATGTATCTTTAATAGGTTAAATATTCACAAGTCGGCCAATCGTCGCCCGATCATCGAGCTCTAAGCTACAGATTGATTTTAACCGTCGGCCAAAATTTTCAACACCCTAATTGTCCAATGACGGACGACCGACTTAATAAACTGACCGCCGATGGTCGGACGATGATCGAAGGTTGGTCGACGGATAACTGCAGTTGAAGCAATCGGCCACCGACGCATGAAAAATTATAACTTGGACCGATGGACACAAAATTGGTCGGCCGACCAAAAAATTGGTTAAAATCGGCCAAGACAAGGGCCGATGAACAGACGACTGTCACCCGAAGAATCCCATTTGTGCTTCAAAACCCGTCGGCCGTTGGTCGTTTTTGGAAATGTGACTGGGGTTTTACCCTAGATCATCATCTGACTATCGGCATATAGTTTTTGAATTCGGTCGTCCGGTGGTCAAAATTTGTAATCGTAAATGTCGATCAACAATGAAAATAAAACCGGCTCAGCGAACGATGATGAGGCGATGGTTGGCTTACTAATAAATATGTAACTTATAAATGCTTCGGTGTTCCTAGGAATTAATTTGACTACTCCCCGTCGCCCTACGCATGTACTGGTGTCGGTCGATCATGTTTTTTTCAGCCGACGATACGATAAATTAAAGTTTTGTCTCCCGTCCATCGGTTTTAATGTGACCTAATGCCTAGGTCACATTTAAGACGATGGTCGGGCGACTAAATTTTTCTGGTCTTGTCGCCTGAAAGAACATGATCGGCCGATATGAGTATCGGGCGACACTGACCAGTCACATTAATTCATAGGAACACCAATGACTTGGATAAATAACACAAAAAATCTTTTTTCTTTAGAAATGAGCATTATTTTTCATAGATTCTATACTCAGATAAGTGACGTGAGAAATGATTGCAAGGCAAAATAGCAGAATTTTGTAAGATTGCGACTCAATGTTGAAAATGTGTGCAAAATTTTGTATAGAATTGCATAAAAAAAACGACAAATAGTGCATATCTAAGCAGCAAGGAATACTTAAGATTTCTTTATATCTTACAGATTAATTATTTATGTTATTTCCCTTAAAAAAATATATATCCATGCATCGATACATTGTTTGTGTTATGTATCCTTAACAGGTTAAATATTCACAAATTGGCCAATTGTCGCCCGATCATCGAGCTCTGAGCTACAGTTTGATTTTAACCGTCGGCCGGAATTTTGAACACCCTTATTGTCGAACGACGTACGACCGACGTAATAAACTGACCGCCGATGGTCGGAGGATGATCGAAGGTTGGTCGATGGATAACGTCAATTGATGAAATCGGCCACCGACGCAGAAAAAATTATAACTTGGACCGATGGACACAAAATTGGTCGGCCGACAAAAAAGAGGTCAAAATCGGGCAAGAGAATGGCCGATGAACTGCCGTCTGTTACCCGAAATATCCCATTTTTGCTTCAACAACCTTCGGTCGATGACCGTTTTTGGAAATTTGACTGGGGTTTAAGCATAACAAATGCTTTCAAATTATTGGAGCAAGACAGTTCTATAAGACAATGTCTGGCAGATACACGTGTTCATTGTAAAATATGAATAACATAAAAAAAAAACATGTAGCATGGCATATAACTCATAAAATAAATATTTTTGAAAACAAAGACAATTCAATTTTCCAATATTACTTTAGTAATTCCTAGACAGTGTTTATAATAAAGAGTCAATATGACTGCGATCCAGTAAGTTATTTATGAGAGAAAGGCCTCACGCGAGAACGAATCTCTGTAGGCTGTCGGCTACTAATGGCCGCCGACAACACTCTTTGTGGAAGAGCAGTGTGTTTGAAAACTCTATCAGGAGGCCGGAAGTCATTTCCGGAAGAGACGGGTCTTACGTGAGGCGAGGACGAGTAATGCGTCTCCAAAGTGGAAGGTTTCTTTCTCTGAACCACAGGAACATCTGTCTGTCGTAAAAAGTTAGATCGCATTACTCGGCGATTCAACAGTTCATCATTTTGACCCAAGAATTGACCCACTCTCATTTCAATGTTGTTGTAGTTTTCTTTTTCAGTACGCTTCCAGTTGTTTACTAGACCATTGTAAAATTTGTTCCTGTCGTTAATATCGTCGGGATCAAAATACCTACACTCTGAAGCTTTTGTTCCTAACCTTCCGGCAGAGCGACACCTATCGAGGAGAGACTTATCTTCCATTAGTGCACGCGCCGTTGCTGGTCTCAAGTCTATTTTAGATTTAGTCTGATCCGACACAAGTGATGGATCTATTTCCACTTCCGGGTCATTTAGCTCAAGTTTGGGTTTGAAAAAGTTTGACACTTTATTCCTCAATGAAGAGGGCGGTCCGGTTTTTGGTCGGGCTTGTGATTTGACAGAGACCGGAACTGTAGGCATGCCAAAGTCCGCGTCTTCCTGTGGCTCCTCTATCTTTGTCCTTGACCTTTGTATTTCTCTTTGCCTATCTCGTATCTTCTTCAGTCGTTTTTTCATTTCTTTCTGACATCGTTTGATGTCGGCCACAGAGTTGTGTTTTTCTATTTTAATCGTTGATAACTCCTTCTGTAAAACTTTTTCATCCCTTTTCCGCGCCAGAACAAGTGCGATTTCCTGATTATCTATGGTCATAATTGTACCTGTAAAAATATCAGGAGCTCACCATGAAGCCAATCATTCAAATTGTGCTATCTTTAATGAAATTATTAGAAAGCAAGTTCTTTAAATATCTTTGATTCACTTTAGTATTAATCGATGCATGTCGATAAAGTAAATCGTCAACTATTTGAATTCAATTTAAAATGATTTAAATGCTGCTTTTGTGTTCGTTAAAAATCAATTAATGTCATATCTAGTCCATTTTTTAATTACAAGAGACGTGTATTCTGTTTTTAGAATCACCTTGAAGTTTGATTGTATGTCTTTATTTAGGCGGGCTAATATCGTCACAAATATAAGCATAAAGAGTGAAAAGTTTCTAGGAGGCATTGTTACAATACCTGAGATTTTCTTTTATCAGTTGGAATAGCTGTTCCTCCGAGGGGGAGTTCTTTTGACTCGAAATGTTAATTACATTCTGGTATCGAATATTATCACATTCAATATCATTTAATGCAAGGATCAAATCTTTATAAATCATTGCATGACTTTACAAAAACAAATTGGCTTGATTTCTACCTAGTATAGAATTCTAAAGATAATTATATTTTTTAAGCGCTATCCTCTCTGAGAAAATCATGCACTTTGTTTTGTAACTTCCCAACTCCAGAATTCACCCTAAGTTTATTTTTTATATTTTGAACCTTTTTGTCCAATAAATATACATGTTATATACATGTACATATAAAAGCATATAACTAATCATTTATAAATTTCAACTTACTATACATTTTAAAAGAATTTTAAAAAATATATGAAGTTTCTTTTTTTAAAAACATTTATACATATAAACAAAAAATAAATAAATAAATTACGGTTTAATTTTAAACAAAATTCTTGCGAAGTATTTATTCTAGTTCAACCAACAACTACCTTTCAATATTGTGAACATTTAGACATGCTTTAAAAACACTATATTCAAAATTAGTAAAAATAAAATCCATAAATTGTTTTAATTATTATTATTAAATTGTTGTGTTATTACATGATACTAGAGGTTAACAATTTTCTTGTTGTTGACAATTCCATATTTAGTGTACTTACTTCTCTTGTTGAAAGCTTTTAAAACTTCTTCACATTCCCAGTGTATGAACTTTTTTGTGGATCGCTGCGTTTATTTATGTACATATAACTCAGTCGATGACAGCGGATTTGTCCGTTAAGTACCCATGAAGATACACGTAAAAGTCATCTTTTGTTCCTCTCCGGTAGAAATGCGATGATCCCCGTGTAACCCCGTACGATCTGTGGACGGGGGACACGTACTGCCCTGATACAATCGTATCTCTCCCCGCTAACACCTCAGAAAACCCGCTGATTGGACTACTATGTCAAACAATACAGGAACACCTACTGAATAGATCTATTATACTCCTTAAATAGAAAAGTTTGAAATAGGAATGAGTTTGGAGTCATCGCTCAATAGTGAGGTACGAAGCGGATCATTGGCGACGATGGCCTATCTCCAGCGATCAGTTCCTCATAGGATTAAAACACCCGTCCCTGAGTGCGGCATTTCTTGACAAATATTTAATACAACCTGCACGAGTCTGTCCCCAAACACAAGCCGTGGCAAATATTTAAACGGAACTGGTATCAATTCCGCCAATCTACAGAACAAATACAGACATTTTACTCCGGCAGCACGTGCCTGACAAATCTTTTAAATATTTAAAACAAACATCGCATTAATACTGAATCCGTGTGCGGAGGGCTTAGTTACAAGAGAATGATCCAATTTCAAACTCCCAGATTAATAAATTCAATGGTTGATATTGTTTTGTTAAGATGTTGCGAAATTTGTCTGGAAACATCCATATTTCTAATTTTGTAACTTTTCATAAACTCTGTACACTTTATTGATGATGCCAGGGTAAATATTTTTCTTGTGCAAATATTTTATTAAACAATTCCAAATATAAAGGGGAATCTCTGATCTTGTTAAATCGATTAACCCCCTGTTCAATTGATTAACTTAATAAGCATTGAATAAATTGATACCAGCAGGGGAAACTTTTGCATATGGTAAGCATAATTATACTGGATTTTAATTAATGTTCAGAGACATTGCAAAATTAATCTTTATAGACCCCGGGAAAATTGTTTAATGTAGACAAAGTAAACAATTGGTGCTAATGGAATTGTTTGTTTTCCCTCTATGATAGCCCGCGATCCGTTGTCTACAGAGCCATTAACACAATATGTCACTGTGTACAACGTTAGATTAATGCTGATTTCTTTTATATTGTCTGTTTTCTTAAAACTTTTCATTTGCTTAAATGCCTAATTTCAAGTTGAAGTAAGAAGATTTCTATTGTGAAGCTGAATTGATCCTACAACGCAACAACAGATCAATATTAAAAGTACCTCAGTGTCTGGGCCCTTGTGTGAGGTAGGCTTTAAATTCATGTGGACTCTTTATAATTCAACAAAAAAATGGTAACAAAATATAAATGACAATAACACAAAAGTCCTAGAATATTTTTTTAAAAATAGATATATGAAACTGTAATTAAACTATTTATTGAGGAAATTATGATCTTCCCTATGATGTCTATTTCAACTCTTCAAAACGTTACAAAATTTCCTTTATATTATACACATGTAAAAATCCTATGATGATACAGTTTAAGAAAAAATGAAAATACAAAGATCATGAAAATATCACACGACACAGTGTGTAACAAAGAAAGTAATGTAATTCCCACTTTTTAATAACATGTAAACAGTTCATCATTCTTGCAATTCGTACAAATAAGAGATAAAATCATTTTCCGTTTACGAAACTATATGGCAGAAAGCTAAAACAGACGGCTAAATCATGATGAAATGAAAACCGATCTCTACTGGATTGAGCAACATTGAGCATATTTCTTCTTCGCTTCCGGACCCGGAACTTGTATTTTCGCCCCGCATTGAGGTCCTCAGCTGACCCACTGGTTTGAACTTTTCCGGAATTCTTGTGACATTTTCAACTTTACATGACATTGCTGATTTTTTCACTGCAACTCTTTCCAGTACTTCCGGTGGCCGTAACATGTGTGGATGATAACTTTTCATCTGCAATAAAAAGGTTCATATTTAGTCATGATCAACCGTAAGAAGAATTCTATTTCTTTGTCAATTCAATAAAAGTCAACTCGTATCAAGATATCATGTCATTTCATGTGACGATTATGCAGTGCAAACATTATAAAATTTATGTACTTTTACAACAATAAAGCAATTAACATGATTAATCAGTACAATATATGTTAATTCAAACAAGTCAACAAATGTGTATGCTTTATTTTCAAATATTCTAATTATTATTAAATATACTTAGTGTCTGGAGAGAATCAAGTAAGTTTTTATTTGTCTGTTTGATGCTCTGTCTTCGTCTCTAATCAACCTTTGTCGTTCATTGACTGCTTTTAATTTCATTATAAGCTATTAGAACAAGATCGAGAAAACTTGTACCCTTTGATTATGGACTAAAACGTCATGTATTCATTCTATGTGGATCATTTTATCCAAGTTTTCTGTATATTTTCTATTTTCAAGACATAGCATTTAAAAACAGAATAAAATGGTTGATGTTTATTCAGGTTATTGCTTAGCTAAGGACCAAATATATTTCAAATGCTAATATCTCATATTTCATAAATTATATCATTGTTACATATACATATTAATAACCAAGATTTAAAAGAGTGTATGTGAATATTTTACATCGAGCCACTTGTAATTTTTTTTTCTAAATCTTGCACTGTGACTTACCACTTGTGGATTACAAATTTCTGTCACGTGGTATGCTAATTTCTGAAAGGCAGCAAAAACATTGTTCCCTGTTTTAGCGCTGGTTTCGAAATAATCAAAAGCCATCTCTTTGTTTGCGAACTGAGAATGGAAAATAAATATACATTCATAGAGCATTTTATTTGTATATGTTAATATTCATTTTTTGTTTCAATATTCTTATTACCCTTTAGGGTAAACATTGTTTATCACAAAATTGCAATAATCACTTTCTATTCATCGTCGCAAACCCACGGCTTATTACGCTTCGAACGAAGCTTAATCTGCTGTGGGTTTCCGACGATGCTTTCTGTTGTATTATGTGTATTAATGGCACAATAAAAGGTAACAAAACCTAGGTTTGTTAATGTTGGTGGGGCAACACAAATTTGAACAGTAAATGAATTTGGATTGAAAAAAAATGTACAAACTTAAATGGCAACGCCAGCAAAAATCCTGGAATTTCACGAACTTCTTGAAGAGAAAACTGGCAAATCATATTTTTGCAATATCGAGTTTTCTTTTTAAGTAAAAAAAAGGTCAGCTTGTTTTTAAAACACTTTCGTGATCTTCAATGCTAACAGGCTAGGTAAGTTTGTATAGAGCTGTTCTAAAATAAACTAAGACTATATTGAGTCACATCTGTACTGCAAAACTACAAAAAAATGCAACAAAACTTTGGTAAATTTAGAGAAAAGCAGATGAATACGATCAGAGCCGTACTGAAATGACTCCCAATATAAAGCATAGCAAAGCAAAGAGTGTGCTAAAATTTCAAACGTCTGCCATGATTAGCTGCTGCATGAGAAAACTGCGATAGAAATTTGGTACGGATATACACACAGATAAACGGGAAGTTGATATCGTATTCGTTCAAAAATAACTCTCACCATATGACTAAACTAAGAATGTGTTAAAATTTCACAAACATCTGCGATGAGAAGTTGCTGAGAAAACTGTTACTAATTTTATATTTGGACAGACACACGACTAAAAGACAGACAAACAGACGCACGAGGATAATATAGTATTCCCCCTCTCACTTTGGAGCGGGGGTATAATTACATGATGAAGAATGAGATTATATCTTTTCATGATTCTTGTACTAGTATACCATTGAGATGTTCTCTTAAAAAAATTAATTAATCCCATCAACATTTATAGTCGTATAATTGATTCATTTTAATGTAACAACAATAACCAAACGATCTACTTTGTTAAAGTAATCAATATCTAATTTGGTGTCTGTTCTGTATTGGAGAGCACTGATAAAACAATCAATACGCTTGTTACCTTTTTAGCTTCAGAAATTGACACCGCTCTGCGCTCTTTGAGGTCGGCTTTGTTACCTATCAGGATTATCGGCACCGACTCATAATTACACACAAAATTCGAAACGCACTATTGAATGAAACAAATAATGATTAATATCAATTATAAGCTAATATCGGAAAACACAGAGATTACATTAAACGATATACATGTATTTAAAATAGCCATAACCTTAAACTTGTACATCCTTGGACATAATTGTATATTTGTTCAGCCATTTTTGCCTCTTCGATTTCTTTAAAACACCAATATTGATTGAGAAATATATCTCAATGACATATAATTCGTAATTCATTATGTACATGAATATATGAACTATGTTAACCTAAATTAAAATGTTGTTTATGAATTAATGACATCCTTACGTTATTGATGCTTTCCAGCCAGAAGGAGAGATGTGTAAATGTAGACCTGTCTGAAATGTCAAACACCACTGCGATTCCCTGAAAGAAAGCGTTTTATTATAGAATGTAATTATAAAGAAACCCCATCGTGATCTCCTGAAACAAAGCGTTATAGTAGAGACACACAACAGTGATCATCCCCTAAACAAAGTGTTAAAAGCATAGCAAAAACAAAACCACACCGCTATCCGCTGAAATACAATGTTATCGAAAAACCACATGAATTCTCCTAAAACAGTGATATAATATAGAAACGACACAGCTATCCCCTGAAACAAAGGATTATAAAATAGAAAAACACGGTGATCCCCTGAAACACAATGTTATCGAAAAACCACAACAATTCTCCTAAAATAAATTGTTATATTAATAAAGATCAACCACCGCGATCCCCTGAAACAAAGTGTTTCAATAAAGACAAGCCACCATAAACCCCTGAAATGAAATATATCGAGATAACGAACAGTATTCAAGATCAAAAGTCCATTAAACAACACAAAATAGGAGCAGATCAAAAACGGACCTCCAAAACATTGGAGATGGGATTAGGTGCCATGGAGGAATAAGCATCCCCTGCCGACCGGTCACAGCCGCCTTGTGCTCCTTGTCGTGAAAATAACGGAGAAATCTTTGTCAATTCGGTATATAAATAATGGACTAACAATTAATATGAAAAAATATCTGTCAACATTTGACTCAATGATAAATTGTATTCGCTGATAAGGTCATTGTATCGACATTAGAACTTACGAAATGATAACTTTGAACGAGGCATCTGAAATTCTTGTATCAATAACTTGTTTTTCAATAATTCACCTCTTTTCACCTCGTTTTAGAAATTGTTCATATGTACGTAGAGCAGGCTCTTGCAAATAGAATCAACTGAGAGACGACGTATTGTCAATTAACAATGGTAATTTCCATTCCTACGTCGATACGTATGAACAATTTCTGAAACGATGTAAATTATTGACAAGCAAGTTGATGAAACAAGAATATCAGCAGTCTCGTTTAAAGTCATCATTTCGTAAGTTCTATGGTCGATACAATTACCTTGTCAGCAAATACAATTATCATTGTGTCAAATGCTGATTGACGTTTTTCATACCGATTGTTAGTCAATTATTTATACACTGAATTGAATTGACGACGGATTTTTTCCGTTATTTCCTGATCATGACAGGGAGAACACGGCGGGTATGACAGGTCAGCAACGGATGCTCACTCCTCCGTTGCACTTGATCCCACCCAGGATGTTTTGGAGGTCCGTGTTTGCTCTGCTCCTATTTAATGTTTTATGGACTTTTGATCTTAAATACTGTTATTACATTATCGCCATATGCTTCATGAAGTATTGCTTATTTGAATAAGAAACGAAAAAAAAGAAGAGAAGGCAATACAATTTTTTTGTAAATGCATATTCTTATGTAAAAAGCCCGAATTGATCATATTCTTAATGGATCAAATAGGGCATATTTTATAATATGGGCAAAAAATGTGCGGCCGATTTTTTTCAAATTACATATAAAGAGAGATTTTTGTCCCTGGAACAAAATATTCAAAGTTTCAGAAAAATTAAATGTGTAGTAATTTTTATTGACAATTGAAAAGTTGTAGAAAAAGGTAAACTATCACACTCAGTTTTAGATTATTGACTCCATATTTAAAATTCTTCTAAGAGTGTAAGAAGTATTCTTGACGCAGTGATAACGTTTAAATTGTCAGGTTTTTTTTGTAGGCATTGTGATGTCGTTGCCTGCATAAAGAGCAATATTTAAAAAAAAGTTCTTCTAAGAGTGTGTTTCCGATCTTTGACTCGTATGTAAATATGTCTTTTTCTCCAATAATTTTTTTGGTTTTGGTTTTGCAGTTTTAACGTTTAAAGAGCCCCTGGAATCAGGTTTCTTTTGTAGGCATTGTGATGTCGTGTTGGGATTAAAATTTTTATAATATAGCAATATATACATATTTTCTATCACCTTAATATATAAAAGATGTTCAATGCATCAAATTACTGATTGTTTTATTTGAAACGGTGTAGACGTTAACCTGCCAAACGATACTATTAGTGTACACTTTTTTCATTTTTAAAAAAAAAAAATTATTCTTTGGTTAAAAATTTGTGCAAATGTTTTATTTTCTCTATCTCCTGAGAGCAAAAGTGCCAAGTTTTTTACGATTTATTGATTGTTTGGCAGAGTTGGATTTCATTTGTCATTTGTTTTAAGTGTAATGTTCAATGGGATATCAAAATTTTTATTTTAAAATATAAAAAGAGAAAATTGTTAATAGTATAATATTTTTATAAATTTGAAAATTAGAATATATATTATTATTAAAAGATGTTTCACTTTCACATCAAATTACATGTAAAACAAGTTTTATTTGAAAAATAACCGATTCCCTTTCCACCATAGAAATTACCATATCCTAGTGTCCAAAATAACCAATTTCCTTTTAAAAATAGAAAAAAAATTATTCTTTGATTAAAAATCCAAATTAAAACATTCAGAAAGCAAGTGTCTTACAGACATTGTTTCTATCTCCCCATTTCAAAAACAAAAGTGCCAAGTTTTTATAAATCAATAAGATACTAGATTAAATTGCTTTGTATTTGTTATTTGTTTTATCAGCAAAATGTAATCACATCAATGGGATATCAACAATCCAATTTTCAATAATAGTCCTGAAAAATAAAAAGAGAAAATAATCATTAATACTATAAAAGTTTTATAAATTTGAAAACACACACACACACATTAGAAACAGGGAAAGTTGGTACACACACACATTTATTCAATATACCACACGAACTTACCCTGAATCCTTTACCACCATAGATACCTCCTAAACCTCCAAAGTAACCGATTCCCTTTCCACCATAGAAATTACCATATCCTAGTCCTCCAAAATAAGGTCCAATTCCCTTTCCTCCATAGAAATTACCATATCCTAGTCCTCTAAAATATGGTCCATATCCCTTGCCTCCACACAATTACACACACCTACACCTCCACACAATCACTCACAAAATAACCAATTCCCTTGCCTCAATTCCCTTGTAGAAATTACCACATCACACACACACCTCCAAAATAATTTCCAAGTCCTTTGCCTCCATAGTAATTACCATATCTTTTTCTACCATAATAGCCATCACAAAGGGCTACAGAGAGCACAGCTAGGAAGCACAACAGCTTGAACATCCTGTGAGACAGAACTAGAGGTCATTATTGAGGAAGACTTTAAGCAATGTATAATAACAAATATTTTTCTTTGTAAAAGTAAACGGATTTCAAAGTGCCCCCCCCCCCGAAAAATCTTTTAAATATTCTTTGATAATAAAAATATTTTTGGTCCAACACGATGAACAAGGATATTCTTATATGATTTTTTTTACGTTTTAATAATCAATTGAAGTAGATTACTGTAATCCGGAGTAATTTATTCAATAAAATTTATCCTCGCTATTTTGTTTATGATAAAACAAATAAGCGTCCTTTAAAATAGCTATAGAAATGAGCAATCATAGAAGAGAAAAACGTTATCATCGAATCCCTGGCTCACCTTTGTCAATGTAAGGTTTTAATGTGAGCAAGCCCGATCCAAATCTGCTTTTTATACTTTTACAGATTAACTCTTTTATATAACTTAATTGAAAAGTCCGGCAAGTAATTTTTATAAATGGCACTAAGACCTTTTGGTTGATAGTTTCAGATACTTCCGTTTCTTCTGCAAAAGGTTAAAACCGTAATAATCCAAGTTAAATGCAATATGTATATCCTGTTAATTTTACAACTGCTGTCAACTTAAAAATATTATTATACCACTAACATAAAGGATTGCATAAGATATTTGCATATCCTTTTTATCTTAAATGATAACTCAGAACTTGTTAGAGTAAAATTTGCAAATATTGAAAACATAAGGACTTGGAACACCTATTTTTTTTTTTTTTTTTTTTTTTACAATTTCTTAAATATGCGTGTTCTTTTCCTTATTTTTTATCCCCTTTGTCAAAACAGGACATATCTGCTTCTTTAGGATAATTATGTCTGATATATGATGAATCACAAGGGATGGTCCCAGGCTCAGGTTAATTTTTCGCATTTCTATCAGCTGATTTTGGGAGTCCAGAAAAGAGGATATTATTCTTTCACTAAAATGGACTGATATGGACTGAAAATTGTTCTTCGACCCTAATGATGATATTTGAAATCAACAGGAACCTTTGACTAATATCTCGTATGCTTGAGTGAAAAATACTTTTGCAGAATTTTATTCATGTTCTGATACCGTTTTAAGAATTAACAAAAATTATGTAATTTTTTGTATTTATAATAAATTAAAGACAGTTGGTTGCACCAAAGATTTACAAAGACTTTAACCAAAGATACATAAAACCCGATCATAAATAAACTGAAAGATAAATTCTCTGTAAATGATAGCACTTCTAAAGAAATAATAATAAAACTTGCTTTATATCTTCTACATCAATCATTTACTTCACAACAGTTATTATTAAGATCGATGATTTTATATCCTGATAAAATAAAAAATGATTATTTTTTTAACTGAATCCACAGCTGGGGAAGAAAAAGAGGTTTACTTAATATGACAATATAGCAGAGAAATTGATTGTAAGGAACAATTTAAAAACATATCAGTAGTGAATACAAATTGAATATATTAATGAAATGCATGTAATATGTTCGACATGTTATCTTTACCTACGGTGGGTCGTAACTGTGGAGCAAACTCATCCCCTAAAATCTCAGTAAGGCTGTCTTACCGACGTAAGCGTCACCCAGATCAAAACTTTGTAGGTGGCAGCACAATCGTTTAGAAGAGGCATCACAATACTGCTTCATTGTTAACTGTATAGATCATGTGAAAATTGAAAAGATTTAAATATTTTTTCATGGTGAATTCTTTCTATATCATCAAATTAAGATAGTCTTATCTAGAATTAAGAGCAATTATCAATAGCGTTTTGATGAACTGTAGTTTCACTTTTTCACCATTTTACAGTTTTCCCCCCAAAA